AAAAAGAGCAATAAGTTTTTATAAAGCAGGAATAGTGCCACAATCTCAAATTGTCCAGCTTCTATGTGAATACAGATACACGAGGAGGCCTTTCTCCGGGGACAATGGACTTTTTGTAAATTATATAACATGTGTAACACTATCAATGTCAATAAGTAAATGCCAAAATCGCATGTATACTTGTTTCCAGACGCAGATTCAGACGGGGCGCACCCAGCGCATGCCCTCCTAAAACATAATAAAAATGTAATGTATAGGTAAAACTACTGTCAAATTATTGTCAAAATATGATCATAATATTTAGGAGCGTATGCCCCCAATCCTGGATCCGCGTCTATTTTCAGTTAGCAACATATTCGTGCGTTATATTCAACTAACAGGGCAGGCCATAGTATTTGGTTAACTATAACTATACTTCAGTGAACAAAACTTAAGTTAACACCCTGTTAATCAAACAATTTTGAACGCCTGATTATCATTTCATTCATAAAAAGTTGTTCAAACTATTACGATAATATCCCATTCATAATTATCACAAATCTTGTAAATAAAAACAATTTTTATCTATTCATCGGTCACATGGCAGAAAAAAGGTCGTGATAAATTATTTGTCAACAAAAACACGATATATATCTACAAATAGGCGATCTATTTGAAACAAAAGACCTCCATATCGCGCCATGTAAAACAATACAAATTCAATCTTTGTTAGAAATCGGCCTAAAATATTCCCCATTTATTTTGAATATCAGTTTCCAAAATTCAGGTGGGTCTGCGTAAAAAAAAACCTTATTATACGAGATTTCAAACTGATATTAACGGACGATTGGTACGAACACCTTTCATCGATTACAACAACAAAACACCACTTTACACCTAATTAACAAAGTATTTAATAGTTATGCAAATACACAATATCTTTCTGAGTGCAACATTTAGTTATTTGTTAACTTGATATCCTGATTGTAGATATGCCGATATAATTTGTTCTCTTTTTTTTTATTTCCTTTTTTAAGTCATGAGTCATATTGGTATGGTTTTTTGACGTTTGTTTCCACAGTGCACGATTCCGGCTATAATCCGGATTTTTTTTTAATGTGAAATAGAAGCGAAAGATACCTAAGGGATATTCAAACTCATAAGTCGAAAACAAACTGACAATGACAAAAAACGAAAAACGATCAAAAGACGAATACACTTATACATAATTACACAACATAGAAAACTAAAGACTGAGCAAAACGAACAACACCCAAACCCGGGGTTTAATTAGGCTGAAACGTATAATTTTGTAAATCAGTGTTCGATCGTCCTCTGGTGGTTGGTGTGGTCTGTACAGTATTTTTGTAATTCCTGGTAGTCTTTTATATATTATTTTTTTATGTTTATATGCAGGAATGACATGAACTGATGGAAGCAAAGACAATCGTTACAGTTAACCGCATATCGGTTTGGTGTCAAGTCGAACTATTTTTTACCACCACTAGCTTGAATATAAATATATATATATATTTGCGGAGGCCCTTTGCTACTTCTGATACTACATAGCAAAGTATTTCTCAAAAACTTCGTAAAACCAATTTACCACGTAAACATACATGTAAAATCAGAGGTTTTGTTACAGATGTTTATAACGGACTTTTTACAGATGTCAAACATTTGTTTAATAACATTCAAACAGGTGTTACGGAGTTAGTGTTAAAAAATGATGAAGAAGAGTCATATAGTTCAATTGGATATTAAAACAGTTACAGTCGTCCAAACAAGCATGTGATACTAATTTTTATGCATGCATAAAGCATGTACGCCATGCGTAAGACGTCCGCCTTTTAACGTGCTTTTTCCTCCGTGATAAGAAACAGTTTACGTTTTACCACACCCTATAACATGTTCCGGCTATCTCCATACTTCAGATACAATAGGTACAAATGTTATACACAGAACAACATCTCCTGTTCACGATTGCAAAATTCATTGTGTTGCTATGACAATCGGAACCGCATACAAGAATCTGCTGTACAGAATATCAAGAACAATTGTTTTAACAGCAATGCGGGAAGAGAAATCCTATAGTATTTGCCTAAGTTATAGCCGGTAAAAGGTTGGGTTTACGTATGTGGAAGCAGACGTTGCCATTTATCCGTGCCAGATCCAGCATATTTAACAGAGCCATAAAATATATTAAACATAACATAATCATAATATAAATAAACCTAGCCAAATTTTACTTTAGGCCATTCGTTCTCGTTTTAAGTTTTAAAGGGTTTCAATAATTCAGTAATTTCTCCATTTCATGTAAACGCCTCGGTATATATTGTTTATGCTGTTGAGTAGCGATCAAACAGTCTAGCAATTACCAGAGCGGTCCAGACGGGTGCACACCCTGCACCCCTCGCCCTTAATTCGAAAAATAGCAATTTTTAGATAAAGAAATGAAAATTGTGTTTATGACAATACAGCTTATTATTAAATAGTTTAAGAGTAAAGACCCCGTTAAGATATTCAAAGACAATACAGCTGATTCATCACCCGCAACCGAGCCTATCAAACCGGAGGAAATTGACAATTAAGAAAAATACGTATGTCAAATATTAATTGAACTATTTCCTAAAAGTCTTATAAATTTTAATGAAACACTTGACTTTAAGTATGATTGGCAAGTTTGACCGAGACATATTCCAAGCCATACTTTAATCATATAGACCCAAGGTTTATACATCTATGCTTACATTCATATCGTTTTAATCGAATTTTGCTTTCAATTCTTAAACTATAGTTTGTAATTTGTTTGTGAAATATGGTGTATTGAGATCAAACAGTCAGCAAACTGAAGTATTAGTCAATAGACACTCTTTGGATATACTTAATACATTCTTGATAATTGATAATTATATATCATTATATTACCCATTGAAATAAAAAAATACTTGAATCTCCCCCATATATCTTCTTGGGGTTTGCCTCTGGGTTCTTTAAACTCATAACAATTAACCCCTTTTTAATATTGTGTTTCTCTTCAAATTAAAAAAAAAGTTTAACATAGAATAGAAACAAGGTCAAGAACTTATTTAACAAAGCTGAAATCAGCTGCTCAGCATTTGTTAAGTATGAAGTATTTATTTAACCCTCTTGACCCAGTGTTATTATAAGATCAAAAAGAAAATAATTTATCTCCATAATTGTTATTTGTTCGCTATTTAAGTACCTTACTGTTAGAAGCGATATTCTCTTAACCGTAGGCTTTGATAGTTTAGTTTTATAGTTATTGTATATAATATTGTATTTCTGATAACAATCTTATCGTTTTCGTTAAACATGTCATTTTATGCATAATTTTTACAAAAAAACGTGAAATTTGCAATTTTGTTACGTATCCAATTGTACTTAAATTATGCTGACTTTTCATCTTACTGTTTACTGTTTACTGGTAGGTTCCTCCTATCTAAGGAGGACTCCCGAAGGATAAGTTTATGAGTTATTTGAACGTATATGAATATTTACAATACAAAGACTTAGTTTTGACTTACTGTTAGTAGCACCATCACTCATATAAATGTCATCTACACTGTACAATATATTCCCTTCACAAATATCCTACACTAAGAATTGTCACTTTGATATTACTTATACCGGGGACTTTCTATACTAATACTATATTTTAGTATAGAAAGTCCCTGCTTATACATATACTGATATCTTATGTGATAGTTCATTTAAGCCTTGGTCTGATTTAATATGGTACGTTTGATATGAAGACTGTAGCATAATGTTCTTGTTATTGCTTCAATATCCTTATATTTTGACTTCTGATTGAGTTAACTGGACTATTTTTAACGATAACTTACATTGAACATATATTCACGTTTTTTCAGTATTTTTGATTCCAATTGAAGCAATGGTATTATAAACATAACAGAATAAGATGTATAATCATGTTTTCCCCTTTAACATAAAAAGTATCTCTAATTGAAACTTTTACTCGGTGTGAAATCCTTGGATCATACAGCCAAATATTACAAGCATTCTTTCGCATCAATCAAAGACTGAGCCTTGTAACACCCTCATTGGAGCATAGAGCCAAATTTTAGTAGCATGCTTTCACATCAGTTGAAAACTCAGCTAAGCAACTCCCTCATTGGAGCATATAAACACAGTTTACAAGCAGGTTTTCACGTCAATCGAAGACTCAGCCTGGTAACCCCCTCACTGGAGGATACAGCCACGTTTTACAAGCAAGCTTTCACATCAATCGACGTGTCCGCCTAGTAACCCCCTCATTGGATCATACATCAAATTTAACAAGCATTCTTTCACATCAATCGAAGACTCAGCCTGGTAACCCCCTCATTAGAGCATACAGTTAAAATTTACAAGCATTTTTTCACGTCAATAAAAGATTCAACATAGTAAACACCTCATTGGAGTATACAACCCAACCAAGTTTTACAAGCAAGCTTTCATATCAATCGAAGTCTCAGCCTAGTAACCCCCTCATTAGAGCATACAGTTGAAATTTACAAGCATGCTTTCCTATCGGTAGAATATTCAGCATAGTAATAACCCCTTCATTGGAGCATACAGCCAAATTTTACAAGCATAAATTCACACCAATCCAATACATATATCCCGGGCGCTTGAGAACAGGTTTTTAATATTGTATTTTCCATTGTTTGCACTGAATATACATTGTTTTAATATTTGTGTGTGTTTGTATTCTATTTTTGAGGGAATTTATCAACTCAGATACACACCGTAGTCCCGGTCTGAAATCCGCAGATGGATCCTCATCCAGAGGAGCAGTTACACAAGACAGTAAACGGTGTAAGTAAATTCGGGATAAGATTCCCACGGAGGATTATGCTCCGTGGGAATCGGATCCAGATTTTGACTTTTCTACCGTTTGCTTTCTCGTGTAATTACTCCTCGGGATTAGGATCCATCTGCGGATTTCGGACCGGGAAAACCCGATTTGTACCAAGAGGCTGCGATTAAAGACTCACCCAGAATCAGGCTGGTCACCCATCATGGCGTCGTCTGTTATCTGACGTATAGACCGAATATTTCTCAGTTTAGAGTATTGGTAGTAGGGACTGTATGTGTGATAATTGTAGTTCTTTCTGCTGGTCACCAAACTTAGTACGAGGCTCCAGGACAGGAAGTTGATAATGCAAGCCATTTCTACTAGAAAATAAACAAAACAAAGGATAAAACAAAAACATATAAATTAACCATTGACATAGTATACCTGATAAATACATGATACTTGGCGTTAGTGTAACATTTTTTGAAAAATTCTTTGACCGATGAAATTCTGATAATGAGATCGATGTCAAAATCTGATGTTGTGAAAAACAACCCTTTTGTCATAATCGTTATTTCTAATAACAATGTAAAGTACCGTACACAGTTTTTTAATTCCTAAATTGAACGTCTCCAAGAGACCTGGACAAAATCTATTTTTTTTTTTTTTTTTTTTTAATTATATCAAATTCGTCAAAGTGAAACTCCAGGAACCCAGGACAAAGTCTGGTGTCGGATAGTATGTTATTTTTATCATCAAATTAAAATTCTAAGATCCCTGGAAAAAGCTGATGCCTGACAACATCAAGAGACATCACAAAAACGAAACAGCTAATTAAAACATCAGATTCGGATCCCAAATGTATAAAAAAAAACTCACTTGGTGTTTGTGGTTGCACGAAAATGCACACTCAGCACATATACGCTTTATGTCAATAAAAAAAAAATCTACTATTAAGATATATAATTATCTTGATGTTGTTTTAATGATTATCTTCAAAGGTATGTGCAATAAATTTTCGTTATCTGTATGCTGTAAATGTAACACAACCTCTTAACAACCTAATCATTACATATTTTATTGACTCAGACATGCTAAACCTAATTTCTTTGTCAAAATTCTTCTGTGTGTATAACGCTGCTGGGAATTAAAACGACGGATACCTCACATACCGAAGGAAAACATATACTAATAAATGATGGATTTCTTTGGTCAATAGCCAACCCGCGAATTAGCCACTAAACTTTGTAGCAAAATCCCCTATATCTGGAACAACAAGGACATTAATTTTTCATAATTGCGGCCGCCGAGTTTTTTTATGATCGAATTATTGTTTACTTTCCTATTTACAGAAAACATAAAAATACCGCCATAAATTCCTGACTTAGTATGATCCGAAACTACAATGAACTTTTCACGTGATTCTATTTTTGAAAAGTAATTGACAGATATACTGACTGAGATTGTCTGCGTCATTATTTTGCAGCTAGCACGTGTAAAACACTTGTCAATCAATGCCGACATTAATTTTGTAGAAACAAGTCGCAAGAAGTTAAATGATGCTCTTTGTGATTTCAGATACCGAACTTACACTTGTGCATTTATACTGATTGTGACTGACTGGTGTTCAGTGGATACCATATGGTTACAAGTTTAATGAAACTTATGTTTTGGATTGAAGTTTCATAGACATTACCCCATATCTCCTTTTATCGACATTTACCCCGCACTTTCTTTTATCGACATTAACCCTACATCTCTTTTTATCGACAGTAACTCCTTTAATCGATATTGGTCGTGCTCTTTTGAAAATTGTTTGGAATTTCTGTCGTTTTTATGATTGCCAGTTTTCCTGCCGCAGATCGATGTCTCTCTCCGTGCAATCAGGATTCTCTCACCGATAAAACTAGCTGCCGCGACATATAGCCAAGTGTGATGAAAGTTGCGTTAAAACCCCAACAACCAACCAATCAATCAATCCCTATCAATCATTATTGCTATTCAAAAATTCTAAGTTCCCTTCTCTGTCGTTCCTCCCGTTTGCATTGTACTGGTATTCTTTTCTTCTGGATCATGATGTTTGTTTGTAATTTTGAGTTTTTCAGACTCATTACTAGTATGTAGTATTGCTCATTACTATCAGCGATTTATAGATGATCATAGATAGAAAGACAAAACAAAATGCAAAGGAAATTGCTGACAGAAACAAACTTATCTGCATCTTGTTAGAATTATTGCCTGAATGAATAAGATAATAATAAGATTATCAGCTAGAAATAGAAAAAAACCCAAGGCCACAAAATCGTCTAATTGATCCAGCAGCAATAAAGTTGTCTGTAAAAGCCATTTCAATGTCTACATCCATGAGACAACAAATCCTTATTACACGGTATTCAGTCAAGTCAAAATTCTTTACTAAAGACTGTGTGCAATTCTCATGGATAGTCAATGTCGTTAAACGTCCCCGTAGTATAGTAGTAGACGTCGTAGTAGTATAGTACTAGTATTAGTAGGAGATGAAAGACCAATCGAATAGCATTAGTTTTTACTCTGATTAATCGCAGAGTGATCACTTGTATGCACAAACTCAATTTGCTTTGTGTGTGATTTGCATCTGATTGACTGATATCCGCTGACATTGATGTATTTGAGGAACGTTTACCGCTTCCATTTATACTTGGTAATACGGTCGAGTTCTTACTTTATTTCAAAATTATCAATCAAATCTTTTTTCCTTCCTTTTTGTCTAAATATTCTTAATGATATTTGTCAAGGGGGGAAGGCGGAGGTGAGTATGGCGGGTTTTGACATAAAATCGCTTACTTGTAGTTTGAAGCATTGCTGACCTCCTTCTTTCATTATTCTGTGAAAAAATGTTGCGGAACTATGCATGTCCATCACAAAGAAACCTTCTTAATGGTTGGTATCTTTATTCAGTCTTGTCAGTAGTTTCGTATCTTAAGGATGTTCGCTATTCTTACTTTTGACTTTTTTGTCAGATATTCGGAATCCTCTAGTTTTATCCATGTAGTGCCAATAAAAAGTTTGCTCGCTAACCCCTACTTTTCTTTTCATAATTTTAAAACATATACTAGTAGTTTAAAAAGCAATATTTTAAAATCTTATAAGATTCTTGTTAATTTTTCATAGTTTTTGAAGAAACAAATGTGCCAATGTTAAATGTATAAAAAATCTATAGAGAAAATTATTTCCGCCAAATTTTCAATGGCCGTTATATCTAGAAAACAAGGACACAGACCTTTATTTTTTTCTGCTTTTTAAGTTCCTTTATTTATCTACTATCAATTTATTACAGTCTTTTAAAAAGCTTGTCTAATTTACGTATGTCATAAATATTCCTTTATTCATATACAGGTATAGCATTCTATATGTCTGCCTTTTAGAAAATTTGGTTTCGATTGCAAATCTTCAACAGTCACAAGTAAGTGAATTCATACCTTTGTAGCCTTGGTGCGAACAAGAGCAAGATTAACTATTGTGCAGACAATTATCAGTGACTGATACAGAAGGGGGCGTCAAAACGTTCTTCGCTTCGCTCGGTGGTAAATATATCATTTTCGGGACTTACGAACCCCTTTTAAAAAATACTGGATCCACCCCTGATTATACGTCGCTGAAAATTATGTTAACATCTACATGATTTTTGCAAATGTTTTATTTGACGGACACCAAAAACAGGGGCGGATTCAATGGAAAGCAGCGGGCATGCACTATCAACCCCACCCCCCTTAAAACAGAAAAATATTTTTGGCTTAAAACCGTTAAAAATATTTCCCCTGACCTCAAATCTTGCCAAATATCCTTTATATACATAGGAGTATCGATGGTCGTATGGGAAGTGACACCTCAAGATTTCGTCGTAAATCTAACTCTTCAACAGTATAATTTAACTTTCAAATATAAACATTAACCTTGCTACTGAAACAATCTTATTGAAATTCCCCCACTTAATAGCGGGTATGCTACCAAATGTTAATTGTAGTCGGCTCAGGTGAGACACATATATTATGATTTATTCAATTATCAAATGTATTCGCGCAATAAGGCCGGAGTATACAATCTACTATATATACTTCTGTCATGCAAACTATTGCGAATTTTATCTGTAAAAAATCTTCAAAACATTATCATTTTAATATTCATTGCCGCGAATGCAACGATAAAAATTGACAAATCTAAAATTAATTTCTTCTTTTTTTCTTTAAGGAAAGTCAGATATATTAAGAGATAACAAAGGTATTTCATTTTGATTCATGGTTTTGTAAACGAGTTAACCGCAGTACCACATGTACTGTACTTAATAAACTTGATTGGTAAAATGCACGACTGATTTTGGTCTACTAATCTCATCCTCTTTAAAAGGTACCTGGAGAAGCAAAAATAAATGTTTTATGTTTCTTTACACGAAAAAATAAATGTTTTATGTTTCTTTACACGAAAAAATAAATGTTTTATGTTTCTTTACACGAAAAAATACATCGGAAATCAGTTGTGTTCCACCTGGGAACAGTATATCTAACATATGTTCCTGGTTCCACTTAAAATGCACCGATTATACGTTAGACTTTACTTCTTTTAGTTGCTCTTACTTGACCGAGTACCAGAAGGTCCTACCACAGAAAAGGTAACATGTCGAAAAATAATATACTCCAGAGTCAAAAGTCGGTAATATTAAAAAAGTATAGGCCTCTGATACATTTTAAGTAGCGATCATACTAATGAATCTAGATAGAGTTATTTATGACCTCAGACTGATATCATTTAAGAACTACCACCTAAGGGTAACACTTCTTGTTTTAAATAGCTTAGAACAAGATTATTCCATGTCAGTGTAGCAGGTGGCAAGAGATCAAAGGATGTTAATTGGCATATCATTCCATGTTTATCAGGTACAACATGCTCCACTGTGTTAACATGTATTCCAACATGCAGAGTGAAATATTTCGGCATCATGACTTACGCCTATGTGTTAGAGTAGTATGAAACGATGCGTAAGGTGAATATCTTCCACGTCGTCTGGTCTCTGGTGGAGAGTTGTCTCTTTCGTGATAATATCACATCTTTTTACTTTTATTAATAGTTTTAAATTCCAAAGCTTTAAGTTTTTCATTCGAACTACACGTCCTGTTTTATTATTAACCATGTAATTGAAAAGACCGGGTCTACCTCGGCGTACCCCTTTTCCTTTATGAAACATAAAAATGATTAAAACGTCATGATGATTAAATCTAGTCAAAATAATTTCACGTCTTTGGATGCTATTTTGGAATTTTTTTGCATAGAGTCCTCCATGTGAAGAGAAGGAGTCCAGCAAATAGATTTGAAAAGCCACACAAGACGTCAAATTGTTTGGACTAGG